ATATATATATATATATATATATATATATATATATATATATATATATATATATATATGCATATTATTTAGTTATTTTGATCTAATTTAATGTTGATTGATAAAGTTCATTTCCAGGGCATGAAGAAAGAGGAAGGCTTAGAGCTTGGAAATTAAAAATTCTTCAATTGCGTGAAACCGTTTCTAGCTTTGGCTTGGGAACTCTCGATCATATAGAAATCTCAAGAACGTTTCGAGCTGCAATTTTGACTCTGAAACGTTCCTCTCCAGAATTCAGTCTTGCCAGAGCAATTCGGAAGTGCAATGGTAGATAATTCCGGTAGCGCCGGTACTGTAGAAGGCGACGGCAAAGATATAGCCTGCATTTCATGTGACCGGCAAGTTTCACTCCACCAGTCTATGGGTGGCGGCAAAGGTATTCAATTCTTCTCCCGCTAAAATTCATCAGTATCTTGATCAATTTCGCTCGATTCCTTTGTTCCCCTTTCGAGAATTTGATGTTCAATCTGTTGGCTGCAGTTGCCGATACTTTAGGGTTTTGGTTTTTTATTTTTTTTTTCCGAAACATAGGATTATATGAAGCTAGAATTGAAGTCATCAAGTGTGTTCTGAAATGGTTTGCTGGATTCGTCGATATTCTGTTCATTTATCTGTTTCCATTTTTGTAATTGAATTGAGACTTTGACCGGTTGAAACTTGAAGGCGTTTGTTATCTTTTGCTTTGGGAAATGGACTCTATATTGCCTAGAATCCAGTTTACTTCAAAATTCGAGAATGGTTTTGATGTTCCTTCGATGTGTATTTGAGGGAAGAAAATGATGATATTTCCTTTTCTGTTTTGATCATCGAGAATGTTGACTCTTTTGCTACTTCTGCATAGCGGCTGATGTTCTACTGTGGAAACAGCGGCATGTTTCTTTCGGCATTGTTGTCGTTGCGACCATGTTTTGGCTTCTAATTGAGCACTCTGGGATGCCATTGCTAACAATAAGTTCAGATGTCCTGCTGGTTTTGGTTGTCCTATTGTTTCTTCGTGCCAACTTCGCTGCGCTTCGTCACAAGTATGGCAATGGCTGACTTTTATTTTGATTCACTGTGAAGTTCTTCCATTTCATAATCTTTAACACACTACTTTTTGCTCATATTATCTTCTTCTTTCAAGAAGATGGTATGTTTTTCCTTGTTAGCTCTTCTTCATTTTCCCTCCATATGCAGGCCAATTCAAACATTACCACAGCTAGTATTGTCAGAGGAATTTGTCGATAGCGTTGCAGCATCATTTCGGGCGAAAATCAACTCTGCATTACTTATGGCTCATGACATCACACTTGGGAATGATTTTAAACTCTTTTTCAGGGTTAGTATTTCGAATGATCATGCATTTTATTGTACATTATAATTCCTTATATCCTATATAATTGGATTTGTGAACTAAATGGGCAAAACTAAAAAAGGGTTATCAGCTTTAAGTACTCTTCCTTTTAAAATAATAGAGTAGCTCTCATTTACACCATCAATGATGCCAGTTAGATCTGCAACCATAAGTAGCTAAAGCCCGAGGCAAAGAAAGCTATTTCAGGACAGTTTAAAGAATACATACATTTGATATTTTAACTTCAAGAGCGTAATATTTCCTTTCAGCTTCTTCATATCTGGTTGCACTAGTATGAGTAATCTTGCACAACCTTGCAGGTGGTGATTTGTTTGTGGCTTCTATCCGTCCTTGGTAGCTACCTTTCTTTCTTCACCTTGGCATATATCGGTATGTACGAACATCCTACACCGCTTCTATGACATATTTTTAGTTTGTATGCATTTCATCTGTGGGTAAGTTACGGCAATCATCCAACTTGTAACATTTTCTTTTTCGAGTTTGCCCTCTCCTTGTCATCGAGTCTTCTTAACTTATATTGATTTTTAGCCATTTGACTCAATTACAGGAACAATCATCTCGATAACTGTCCCCGCATTGTACAACAAATACGATAAACACGTCGATAGATATTTTGGAATGATCTTCCAAGAGTTTAGAAAGCATTACAAAGTGATGGACGAGAGTGTTTTCAGCAGACTCCCTGGTAGTTTTTCCAAGCATAAGGATCAATGAAAAATGCTGACTATAATTTTCTCAACTTGTACTAAACCACAGGAAGATTGTAACACTGTTTCATCCCAAATGAATGCCTGGCTAACTGGACTCTTGAAGGCTATTGCTCGGCCGTGTATACCTAGGTTTAATGATATGAACCACCCTGATCAAATATCACAGATTCTAGTTCTTAGTTGCTACAGAAAAAGATGAGGGTTGGTTGGTTTATCAAATGCCACTTTGTCAAATATGGATCAGCCCACAGAGAAAGGCCCATTGTTGAATGCCAAACAAATATGGATCATACATATTTGGTATATTGTTCCATGTAAAAGCCACACTTACATACATAGACGAACAGATGAAAAGCGTTATAATTGTGGGAAAAGTCAAAAAAAGGGGGAAGAGAGGAAAGTGGTGTCCCATTCATTTGATGGTAATATGATTTCTCTTCTCCCCCCAAAATATTGTTTCATGTCATAAACTCACTGTACTCTTCCCATATCATAATTTCTCTGTTTTTTTTTTTATGTTAAATCACAATTTAGCATACTTTACCCCATCCACTTGGTCGTAATATATTTATTTTGTTGACACAAGAGTATTATTTTGATTGAAAAAGTATGAGAAAATTTAAGACAAGTCTTGAATGTTAATCAATAGCTGATTACATTGAGCGTTCATTAATTCTCACTAATGACATAGCACGAGAAAAATAAAGGCTTGAAATTAAAGATGGGGGGAAGAACTGTAATGCAATGTCCTCATATCAATAAATTGAGAGAACTAAATGGACAATCCCTTTGTAAGATAGGCAATGGGGCTGAGATAATTCTTGAAATTGAGAGAACTAAAGCTTATTAATTCTTCTGCACACTATTTTCCTATATATTTATAGTTATCTGTGTGTTTTCAAATCCCAAAGACCTTAGCGGGTGCAAGTTAACCACCACGGCAATAGTCAGCCACTGTGGACGGCGGCCGGAGATCTACCTAACCTACATATGATTATTATTTTTTTTTTTTAATCAAGTTCTTGAAATTTGTTGTTCAGAACTGGGCACCCTCAAAGGTCTGACCGAACTGCCAGTTGCCCGGAGCGACGTCGTAGCTGGTGACGGTACGGCCGTCGCTGGTGGTGACTTGGAAAGAGAGGCTTTGTCCGTCCAAGTAATTGTTGCTCTGCCAGTTCTGTCCCCAATTTCTAGACATGGCTTGCCATTCTGTATTGGATCCTTTGATCGACACCGATTGGACGTCGCCGGCGCCGCCGACGTTGGTGATCAGCACCAAGTTGAAGTATGAATGGCCCTTGATCGTGAACCTTATTCCTCCCTTCTTCACGCATGGCACTCTGTTATTCATTACAAAAAAAAAAAAAAAAATTAGAAAGTAAAGATAGAGATTTAAACCATTTGTGTTAATTTTTAGGGACTCTCACCTACGGAAGGAGACGGGAACAATGCCAGCACTGTACTGAGCAATCTGAAGGAAAGCAGGCTGAGCCAAATCAAAGTGCTGCAGAGGAGGGTTGCACCAGCCGCCATCATCATTGGGCAGAGCGTAGTTGGGCGGGCAAAAATTAGTGGCAGTCACAATGATTTTTCCAGGAAGACACCAATTGGGATCACTAGTGCAAGTAATCTCATAGCAAGAACCACAACTTAGCCCATCGTTATACAGAGCCGTACTCAGCGCCGCCGTGTTCGTTCCGTATCCTTGGTTGTACAAATCCCCATACCCACAAGCCCCACCTGCTCAAATACCCAATTCCCCATTACCACACAGAACCCAACAAATTAAAAAATATATATATTAAAAAACGAAGGGCAGTTCAGTTTAATCAATTACCCATTGTCCCGGATCCGTCACCGCCGCCGTAGAACGTAGCGTGGCCTGACTGCAACCCGCCGTAGTCGGCGGAGATTGCAGGGAGGAAAATTAGGAGCAAAACAGAGAGAGGAGAGATTGGTAAGGACGCCATTGAAGAATTGTGTAGGGGTGAGAGGTTTTTGTTTGGGTTTGAATGGGAAATGGAGGGGTATTTAAATACACGGAAAATAGAGGCCGTTACGCTATAATTGTATTTTGTGGTGGTATTGGGAACAAAAATAAAAAATATAATTCAGAAATATTAATATTAAGAATTTAAGAGGGTTTCATTAATTAAAATTAAAATTAAATACAACGGAGAGGATCGAACTTACATAGGAGGAGTTGTACGACCTTTCTTCTAAAAAAAACACAATTCAGTTAGTATAAAATAAGTACATTTGTTTAAAATTCGAATCATATGAATGATCTAGAATATTCGTCGAATGATGTTAAGTTATTTCAATCTATGTTCTTACGAAATTTACAGTATTGAGTTATTATTTTTTTTTTTTTTGTCTTTTTAATTTATTTTCAACTATTATAACAATTATTTTTTAAAAGTAAAAAATGGATAATTCTAAATATAGGGTTTAAATAAAGTATTATAATAAAAACAATAATATTCCTATTCTATGAGAGAGAAATAATAATCCTAATGAATTTTAAATTTAAATACTTATCATTGTAGAAATAAAATGAATAAAAAGAATTAGGGACAATAAATGAATATAATATTCGTTCTCGTTTCTTTAACCAACTTTAAAAAATAAAAATAAAAATTCTATGATTTCTTTTTATTTGAGACGAGTCTTGACGACTTGAACTCGTGAGGGTAACATAGTTTTAATATTTTTACCTTAAAATTCACAAAATGATTGAACTCGGTTAGATATAAAATTCTTATTGGATTCAAATACGAAGATCTAAAATTCAATATTTATTAAAATGTTATTACAATTTATTTTCATTAAAAAAAATTAGTCGACAGAGAAAAGAGCATCTCTGGATTAAATTATTATTTAATAAAAATAATTATAATTAATAACACAGCTTAATTGAAATGTATTTATGGCTACGGTTAGAAATTAATATTCTAAATTTATTAGATTAGTTCAACTCCCCATAGCAAGGTTGACTTTATATTCATTTGTAGAATTTTTTTATTTTTTTTAGCGCATGACTTAAACGTAAATAAATAAAAGTGACTAAAATATCAATAAACCATATCAAATTAACCAGAAACCCCAAATTAAATCCGTAATTTTGGACTCTAGTTGAAAATGTTCACTATTTTAAAATTTGACTTTGTTGAGCCATTTTTTCAATACCCCAAATTTTGACTTCTTTATATATATATATATATACACACATATGTGTGGGTCTCACTTATTTATTTTAATCCAATATCAAAGCGCTAATCACAGGGTGGTGTATTAGTGGAGGCTAGACTCTCCATGAGAGTGAACTGTGAAATCCCACGTCGGTTGAAAAATGGAACACAACATTCTATATAAAAGTGTAAAACCTCTCCCGTTTTAAAACTGTGAGGCTGAAGACCACACATGATAGATCAAATGAGACAATATTTTGGGGTTATAAATTGATATCCTTATTTTGTCAAAAAAAAAAAAAAAAAAAAAAACTACCAAATAAATTAAATTAATCTCTTTTGGAAAATTAATTTTATGTCCAAAACCCACAAATAAAATCAAAGTAAAAAAGAGACCTTTAAATCCCAAATTTTAAAATTAATTTATGGAGATATGAGGTTTATTTTAAAACTTTAAAATAAAAAGAAAAAAGATAATAATAAAATGGGGTCTACCATGTTAAGGCGGCACATGGAAGGGCCGATTTTTGCGCTTCTATTTAAAAGAAAATTCCAAATATACAATATTGTCAGACACCGACTTTTGTTTTCCACTGTTTTTTTTTTTTTTTTTTTCTAATTTTCTTTTCATGTTTTTTAAAATTACAATTATATTTTATATTTTATAACTTCATTATATATTTTTTTTAAATATGGTTGAAAATGTAATTTGAATTTATAATATAAGCTCAAACCGACCAGATTAGAGATCAACTTGTTTAATCACCAGAAATTGCAGAGCCGTACATTAATTTAAACCTACTATAAAAAAAAAATTATAATAATTGAAAAGTATTTTATATACTATACTATTTTGTAAATGTTTGCTTAATCCACCACACTTAAATGGTGTGAAAGTTATCTTATTTATAATCAAATAAATTACAAGGATATGGAAATAGTAATAAATGGAAATAACAATAAATGGAAAGATACTATAGTAATAAGGCAAATGTTAGATATTTGCCTTATAATAAAATATCAAATATAATATATATGGTAAACTATAATTTATTACTAAATATCCTTAACATATTTAAATATTAATTCTCCATTTTTTTAAATTTAAATATTAATTTCATTTTTAAAAAATTTAAGTAATAAATAAATAACATTTTTAACGCTAAACTTTAAATTTAGTGTTAAAATTGTAGATATTAAAAGTATTTTTAAATATATATATAATGTAACGTAAAATTTATAACATCCATAAATTATTCTCGAGTTTTATCAACTTTAGAATTAAAAAAAAAAAAAAGAGAGAAACCAAAAAAAGAAGCAAAAGAAAGAAAGAACCAAGCTAGATACCATAGATGCGAATGAAAGTTCATTTTTTTAAGGAAGAAATTAAACAAATTCTTCCAAAAGTGTGATTTTATAAGGAAAAAACATCATAACATAAAGTTGCAACAAAAAGAATGTGGGGGACACATGAAGACAATATAAATGTAATAGAAATCGACTGGCTTGGTTTTTAAAAGAAAAAAATCCACTAAAATTTGCTCGGGTTTCTTAACAAAGAAATGCACGTGACGTGTCACAGTAGCATAACTTCGAACTTTCAAATTTATCGAATTAAACATTGAAATTATTACAATGAATTAAGCAAGAGATTTAAGGGTAGGAATCAAAAAGAAAATTTTATTTTTAGTTAGAATGTGAAAGAATAAGAGGGAATTAAATAAGTTACGTGGTTTTAACTTTTCTTTAGAAAGTAATCGGTTATCAAGATTTGGTAAGTACTCGATTATGAGCGTGCCAAGCTGTGTTTCTTCACGAGATTTTCATTACGTGAACGTAAATTTGAGGCCATGTGAGGGGGGAAAAGGAAGCAATGCTTATCCAAAAAGAAAGGTCGATCCCATGAAAGTGGCCTTAGTAAGGGAATGTGACCCATTTAATTCACTTGGATTTGGTGATTTGGAGGCACAGAGAGGGGCAAAGCCCAGGCTTCTGTCCTACAAACCCATGTGCAATTATTTGTGTGGTACTTGTAGGACCATTCCCTCACCCCTAATTGTCCCAATGCAAATTGGTTGCTTGCCTCATTCAATTTTATCCCCCAAAATAAATTCCTTCAAATAATGTGGGATTTTGTTATTTATTTATTTTTGTCGTAAAGAAAGCAAAAAACTCACTTCCTTCACTTCTACTTTGGCACGGGAGAATGTTCGGGAATTTATAAATATTAATTACTAATCTCAGTACCAATGATTATTTAATCGAACATATATATTTATTAAGTAGTTAAACTATACTCAAGTTGATAAATATAATATAACGTCTAATAATTATGTACGAGGGGGCCTTGAAATTACTCCACCTAACCCTTTCAATGAAAACTAAATGCAATTTTAAATTGGAAGCTTGAGCCTAGCAGCGACAACATTGTTTACTTTGGGCTTACAAACTCAATTGTCGGTATGAAGCCCAAGAATTTCATTTGGGCCTAAATGACCTAGCCCAATTTAAAAACAACCCACATACGGCCCATAAAAAAGATGAAGTTGAAATTACCATTTAACCCCTGTTTTTTTTTTAAAGCAAACATTAAAATACAATGTTAAATTAAAAAAAAATTAAAGAAAAAAATGTGACTAAAATCAATAGTATATTACCAAAAAAAGAAATTATCGAGAAAGCATATCGCCTTTAATAAATAAATTGTTTTCGAAAATTAAAAAAAAAAATAAAAATAAAAATCATTTTGGAATAATGATATTGAAATTATTGTTTAAAGCTTCCCTCTTCCGCAGGCAAGAGGTTGGCTGCAGCCTTGCATGGGGGCCACTCCAATTCCAAATAATAAATAAATAAATAAATAAATAAATAAATAACCAGTAAAATTTTGGTGTTATTTTCAAAAAATAGAAAATACACCAATTTTAGATGCCTTTATTTCCAATTCATTTCTCAAATATTTCAAAACGGCCCATTTTGTATTTTATTTGGTAAATAAATAAATAATTTTTTTGACGTAAGAAATTTCAATTGTTGTCACTTTATTCGATAATTTTTTTCTTTTATTCTCTCACTTTATTATTATTATTATTACAATCTCATTTATTTTCCCCCCTCTCTCTTCAATTATTTTTTAAATGTTCACCCAAAAGAATATAAAAAGTAGACAAGACAAAATGTCACCCGACATTTAAGTTTACTAAACTCTTTTGCCCACCGTTTTATTTGAAAGAGATGGGTAAAAGACTTGACCAATAATTTTAATTTTTATATATAAAAAATAGAGTAATTATCACGTCCGAATAAAAGTGGGGAACATAAATGAACCGAGATCACATTAAAACGAGAGAGATCTTGAAGATATAAAGAAAAACTTCATGGTTAAATATGTTTTACTTAGAACAACTCTATGTTGGGTGATCTCTTAGAAATTTTTCATGAGTCGTTACCGTTATTGTAGAGTACTATTAGATTTAATAAAACATTGAAATTAGACTAATATTTATCTTTAATTAATGATCTACTCTATATGAATTCCTTTGGTCCAATTCTTGAGGCAAGATAGGTTAGTTATACCATTCATGACTGGTTTAGAAAGAACAAATTCATGGGGGGCTGGACACAAAAGATACTATAACAAATTCAGGTATTTTATCGATTTGATTAAAACATGTAAACGTTCGTCCCCTTAATAATAATTAATCGAAAAGTGAGGCAATATTTTGTCAACATGGGTAAGGTATAGTTTTGATTGAAATCAAAGATATTTAAATCAGCAAGTTGTTCTCGTAAGATTCCTAATCCCAACTACGTATAAAGACGAGGAAGATTGATTTTAGAAAATATTCATTATCTATGAAAAAAAATATTAATTGAAATATATGAACTCTGAATAATTTGTATGTTGTAGAACTTTTTGAAACTTGCAACTTTAACCAAGTAATACCCTCCAAACTTTTTGACTTTTTTATTTTAATTTTAATTTTTTTAATCCTTATCCAATTTATTATTTATTATTTTATTTACGTAAAATCTCTTCGAAGAGTAGATGTTTACCCAAAACCTAACCATCGATGAATCTTACAAGTTACACAATGTAGCTAAATAATGTTTCAAAAAGATAGGGAATCTAACTTTTTCAATAATATTATTTTTTTTTATAAAGTTAAGATAGAGTTATTTAAATTAAATTACTTTTTTATTTTTACTCGAACAAGATTCGAACCTCTAATTTATTGATTAAGGGAGTATAGCCAAGAATGGATGGTTTAGGACTGGAACCTAAATGGACATGTAATATGTAATGATGACTAATGTGGGGAAGGAATGGAAAGGCATTGTAATCTTAAAACCATATGATCCAAACTCAGGACATCAAATCTTGGCTCAGACTTGGCTTTTGGCTTGGTTCCACTGTTGAACTTGAAAGCAAATGGAAGAAGGGTAAGTAAGAGAGGGATTTTTGTGAGTGATAGGAACTTTCTACTTTCAATTTCTTTCGTGGTTCGATTTGTTCATCAATGAACTATGAGGTTAGGATTTCGCAAGTTTCTTTGAGGAATTTCATCGAACAGGTTCAAGATCTGAAGTAAATTACCTTTGGCGGAATCATTTCCTGGTGTTGTTTTGAGGTAGTGAGCAGCTCGTGTAGTTATGGCGTCCGATCACCACCCTCACCGTCTCCACCGTCTCCACCGCCTCCTCCTTGGCGTCGATGCGACGGCGCCGCCGTCCAATGGAACCAGAACCAAAAATTCGTACAGCAACGAAGCGAATTTCGACACGAACATGGTGATAATCCTTGCCGCGTTACTCTGCGCCTTGATTTGCGCTCTCGGATTGAACTCAATCGTTCGGTGTGCCCTCCGCTGTACTCGGCGGTTCACCTTCGAGAACGGTGGCGGCTCCGCCACGCGCCTCACTGCCGGAGGGCTGAAGAAAAGCGCATTACGCCAAATTCCTGTCGCTGTTTACGGGTCGGAGTCGGGTAAAGGGATCCGAGAAACGGATTGCCCTATCTGCCTTGGGGATTTCATCGTCGGTGAGAAAATCAAAGTTCTCCCAAAATGTAACCATGAATTTCACGTTCGATGTATCGACACCTGGTTGGTTTCCCACACGTCGTGTCCGACATGTCGTCAATCGCTTCTCGAACAACAGTCAAATCCCCAACCTGCGGAACCTGAAGTCGGAAACCAACCCGCCGGCAATTCATCGGCCGGCGGCCAAGGTGAGATATCCATAACTGTAGATGAAATTAGCTGATTTCAAGGGTTTTGCATTAGCATTTGCACATAAATATTCTTTATTTGTTTGCAGTTCTTAGCTCGTTTTTTTTTATAATCATTTTGCAATAATCTGAATTATCATATAATCATGGAAGCATATAATTGATTAAATGGTAGTTAGATATATAATTATGTATTATTAAGCTTTTTCTCGAAATTTTATAAATCATAGGCACATCAAATTCACAATATAATATATCGTTACTATGTATATTAATTTCGTCTATAAAGTCGCCTATGCCAAAATTTACCATAAACTTACCTAATCTCCATCATCTCATTAATTTTCTTATATTAAATTAAAAATAAAGAAAAATCCTACCAAAATTAAAGGATTGGTTTGATAGAGGGTTCTTATCTTAACTTTCCTCTCTGTCATATCTAAACAAATAAAAAAGTCCGTATTTAACTAGAAATATCATTAAGTCATAATTAATTAATAATTAATGCAATATCGATCGTTATCTATCTATATATGTGAAAATCTAATTCAAAATTTAATCTAAATCTACTCGTAATTACTATGCTTAAATCTTATAACCTCGTGCAGTTAAAACTATACAGATTTACCTCGACCTACTTTCCATCAAATCAATCTCAGTTTCCATACAAGCTCCATCTCTGCTGATGAGTCAGCATTGTTATGCTGACGTGGTTGGTTACGAAACTGATTTGATTGGACGCGATTCACCGAAGACTGAGGCCAGACTGCGTGGACACACTGGAGGTCCATGCATATTCCTCATGCTACCACGTGCCAGTAATCGCTGATGAATCAACGGCTACGATCAAAAGTCTTGGTACATTGCCCTTTTTTTGTCCTTTTAATTTACCTTATTTTCGCGTGTAAAACTCGTGGAAATCGCCTCTACTCCACGTTCTCTTTGCCGGACCTCGTGGCAGTTCCCAATCGGAACACGCCACAAATTCCTTACTCTCATTCCTACTGCAAGCTTCAAAATCCCTCGGATAGCCATTCGACACCACGACAAATAGGGACGATGTCGTAATTTCAAGTACCAGAAAATTGATTAGTAATCGAACACGATGGCGGTTGCATGGAAATAAAATGAGACGATTTACAGAGGAGCAAACAAAGGTGGAATTCCGAGTGCGAAGGAAGACTGGACGCTGACGGGTTTATAATCAAAATGAAGAAAATAATATATTTATTATTAAAAAAAATTGACGATTTATATGTCAAGAAAATTTCAGTTGGGATTTCGAGTAACGCGATTGGTCTGATCGTTTTGGGAAACTGATTCAATCGCTTCTGTTTATCCAGTCTCGTTTCCTCCATCATCAAACGTCTGCTTCAACCACAATCGTTTTCAATCCGAAACCAATTTCAAGAAGAAGGGAGGGCCGTCGTCTTCCCCATCGGCTAATCCCTCCGTTTCTGTTTTTTCGTCTCTCGGTTGCAGTTTGCGATAGCCAATGGCTTCGTTAGCAATTCGATGTGGAAGAAATTTCAGCGCATTGGATCATCCATACGCGAATGTTCCCGACGGATGTGATCAGAAAGCAAGTCCTCGTTCTTTGGTGGCTTTCCCCGGAAGATTCAGGAAATCGAGGACTCACATTTCTTCAATGAAGAGTTTGCAGCCAGTGAAAGGCCATGTGAAGGGGAGAAAGAAAGGCAATGAGGCGATTTCTCGCGATAAGCTCGATAAATGGATGAAGGAATCGGTGGTGGAAATTGTGAAGAATCTTCGAGAAGCGCCTCTGTTTTTGCGGTGGTACACGACGGAGGACGGCAAGGGAGCGAGATTGGAAACGGAGAAGGCGGTGGAGGAAGATCGTTGGAGAACGTTGGAGGAACAGTGGAAGAACGGAGAGGCGCGGACGCCGGAAGGAATCATATTCGTTCAAGAGCTTGAAGAGGAGGATTACGAAGGGGAATCGAAGGCGTGGGGGATTGTAGTACAAGGAAGATGCGTTGAACGTGGTGCGCCGGTTTGTTACTTGTTGAAGACGAGTAGTAGTAGGGGAGGGGGAGGGGTAGGGCTGTGGTGCACGCATTTCTGTCTGGTTAGGGTTAAGAACTTCAGAGAGACGACGAAATCGCAGCTGAAGAATTGTTGGTTGCTGCAGAATCAGTGAAATTGCCAACTTAGGAAATAGTTTAATATCTTTAGAAAACAATTTTATTTGACTTCTTTTTTTTTTTTTTAATCTGAAAATGTCTTCTCTCCGGACGTAACGATAACAGAGAATATATATATATATATAAGTTTCAGAAGTTGTTCCGGTGGCCCGTCTGCGTTTCTCTGATTCGTTGACTTTGACTTTTCCATTGACGACTTCTTCTTCTTCTTCTTCTTCTTCTTCTTCTTCCTTGTACTTTCCTCGTTGAAATCTTCAGCAATGTGGCGCGATTCCGCCATCTCGATTTCATCGCGGTTCTGCTCGATTCATCAGTCGTAGAAAGACGCGGCGATGAATCGTGATTTGGCGCTCGTGTTCGTGTTCTTTGTTCTTAATCTCGCCTCTCGTGGATCCAATGCTTCTTTCTCTGACCGTATTTGGAATCTTCATCTCCGGTTCGCGCTTTCGAAGGATTCTCCTCAGGTTTGTTTGATTTTGATTTTCGATCTTCTTCTTGTTTATGCAACTTTTGGATTGCGATTGACTTCCAAATTTGTATTTCGCCTTTTCGATTCCTGTAGAGTATAGCTCCGGCTCCGGCTCCGGCTCCTGGCCCTAGCTCTGTTTCTCCAACTCCTGCGATTCCGCCATTTCCAAGCTCAACCGATGGATCTTCTATGAAGAAGTGCAGCCCGTCGTACAACACTTGTCACGACCTTGAGAACATGACTGCCTGTCTTCTATTCGCAGAAAAAGGTAATTCCGTTTTTCCCCAATATCATATCATGAGATGATTTTCCCCCAATAAATTGCGAAAAGATTGTTTTCTCACAGCAACGATGGAACAATATCTTCTGATCCAGAATGCTGGAGGGACTTCACTGAAAGTGAATGTTATAATTTCCGATACTAAATTCAAGGAGATACAAGTTCCTGAGCACCAATCTAGAAAGGTACTCTCTTTGTTAATCTTTGCTGGATCATCACGAGGATAGCTATTTCAAGTTCCGTATTCTGTTTCAGGTTAATATTTCAGATGTTCTAGGAAATTCAAAGATTGTATTAGATGCTGGGAGTGGGAAGTGTGAGATTCAGTTAGGATCACTAATGAAAAGTGGCACCACTTTTGAGCAAATCTCTTCGTATGTAACCCATTTAAACCTCGTATCCGGATCATATATACTGCTTTCAATTGTTTTGATCATTGGAGGTGTGTGGGCATGCTGCAAGATAGGAACCAAGGAACGCCATGCTGATGAAGTTCCCTATCAGGAGCTTGAATTGGCAGAGCAGGATTCTTCTCCAACCAACGATTTGGAAGCATCAGAAGGTTGGGATCAAGGCTGGGACGACGACTGGGATGATGAGCCGAAGCCTGCAAATGAATCAAATTCTCAGACAAAGGCAAGCGGATCATCAAACGGTATTAGCTCTAGAACTTCTGGGAAATGATATGGGACGATTTTAGGTACAGGATAATGAATGATGTTGAATATGTCTGCTCATCACAATAGATGGGCTTTTTTTCTTCTCTGAAGAACAATAGGTCTCAGTTTTGCTCTTAGTAGAGGTATGTCAACATTTCAATTTAAATTTGAACTATGTAGATACCTATAACTTTTAAATCTTATAGTTTCATTAGTCTCACAAATTTCCAAGGGATCATTTTCATTTTATATTGAATTTATTCTCTATATTTGTTAGTGTGGCTAGTCCTTTTCAACTCATAATAGTAATTGTATAAAGAATTTTCTTAAAATGATACCGAAGTTTATCTTTTATTGTTGTTTTTTATTGTATCATGGTGTGTGAACGAGGATTCTGAGCTTCAGAGGAGTGGATCGTGAGACGGTTGGGGAGGGAACGAAACCATCTTTGATTAATGAGCATATTATGACCACCATCTTTGTACTCTTAAATAAGATATCATATTAACAACATTATTTTGAGAATATTTTTTTTTTCCTTTCTAGAGTACAATATACAAAGATCTTGATATTATAAAACATGGTGCCTTCGGTATAACAAGAGTATTTTCTAAGGATGTTAAAAAAAAAAAAAAAAATTACCTGAAAACCAGGTTGATTTATGGGTTGCCTAAAAATTTATTAGGTTGAATTGAAATTAACAGATATAAATTATATAATTATATGTACATCTATCTATTTAATTTCTATAATTATTTATTCTCTAACCTTTCTTAACCATACTTTTTAACTATTTTAAAGATAATTTTTTTAAAACAATATATTAAAAATGAATTATAAATTTTATTTAAATATTTAAAATAAATAAATAGCTATTTAAAAAAATAATATTTTACTTTTATTTTAAAAATTATTGATTAGGTTGGATTTGTTTATTATTTAATCATGAAACTTTTAAAACACACAAAATTTGTTGAGTCAAAAGAGTGAAACCGAATGAAATACCCAAAACCCCCTTAGGATTCTCACTCTGCCTATGGGTAAATAGGTAAATCAGAGCTATTATGACCTGTTCTTCGCTCTTAAGATCTTACGGTAAATCTGTATGCCACGTTTTTCGTCTCTGACCGTCCGATTTAATTCCTATCTTGCTCCGTCTACCCTTATACCTCATCTCCTAGGCCTCGTTTCAATTTCTTTACTCTCTCCGCCGTCTCTCTGCCGAAAAAGGGATTTTTCCAAAGCCGATCCCGATTTATTTTCCGTTGTTGTTTTTGATTTCTTCTATTAAGTGTGGTATTGCGAGCGTTTTTGCAGTCGGCGATTCAGATCTCTGTAAGTGTTACTTATTCGAAATCGATCAATTGCCATCGGCAATGCGTTTTCTTTTGATTTGATGGTTTCTTTTTGCTTGTTCATTGAGAAAAGAACTCGAATTCGATATTGATTGCAATACCCCCTGCATGCGTCGTTTTTCTCATTCCGTCGTGTTGTTGTTGGGATCTTATCGTTCTTGGAATGTGGTCGTTAGGTTCTATCAAAATTCTTCGTTGGCGGTGATTTGATGGAGAAAGAGCTGGTCGAATTGTTTGAAGCGGCGAAGAAGGCTGCAGACGCCGCTGCAGCACGATCAAATGATGGGGGAGCCGAGGAAAGTCGTTGTCTTGATGCCCTACGGCAGCTCAAGAAATTTCCTGTTACATATCAAATCCTTGTTTCCACTCAGGTTTTCTTCTCACTATACTTGAAATTTGTTTCTTTTGTTGATGGTGGATGGATACTCAAAATGTAAACAGCCGATTAGTTTATAAAATCGTACAATGGTTTTTGATATGGACTAAGCCTAAATTCCTTGTTTGATCGTCAACGAATTGGTTTCATAACGAGCTGCGTTACTCTGTTTCATCTGTTATTTACGTTGTTCATAACGAAATCAACTCATTGCAAGTTTTTGGAACAATAATACTGGAGTCATAGCTCTTGTTATATATTGTTTTCTGGATTTTTTTTTTCAATCCCTTTTCCTTTGTAATTGAGGTCCATTTTCATGCGTTGCTCAAGATTCTATATCTTGCCTTCCATAGGTTGGGAAGCGCCTTCGGCACCTCACCAAACACCCCAAGAAGAAAATACAAGACTATGCTTCTGACTTGATTGAGATGTGGAAGGATATAGTAATCAAGGAGACTAACAAGAATAAAAAGAATGGAAACGGCAACAGTAAAGAACCATCCAAAATTGGTTCTCCCAGTGCAGAGTCCGTTAAGGTGGAGAACTTGCAAAAATCATCTTCCATGAAGGTTGAGAGAGTTTCCAAGGTTGAGCAATTCGATAGGAATGGTTCCACAAGCTCTGTTAAATTTTCCAGATCGGCGAGCGCGGTCTCGGAGAAAAACTCTGTTAAGGTTGAAAAAACTGATTCAGTGGTCAAGGTGGAAAGGATGGTTAAAGAAGAGAAGAAAATATCTATTGAAAAGAAACCAAGCGGCGCTGCTGGACCTCCAAAGCTTACTTCCATGATCAAATCAAAAGATGCTGCTCGGGACAAAATAAGAGAACTTCTCGTTGAGGCCTTCTCCAAGGTTCCTGGTGAGGCTGATGAAGATGTTATAGATGAAGTAAATGCAAGCGATCCTATCCGTGTTGCTGTTTCTGTAGAATCGGTGATGTTTGAAAATTGGGGAGGTTCTACTGGGGCACAGAAGGCCAAGTACAGATCTATAATGTTTAACCTCAAGGATCCGAAGAACCCAGATTTTCGAAGAAAAGTTCTTCTTGGGCTTATCAAGCCAGAAAGGATGACCAACTTGAGTACAACCGATATGGCAAGTGATCAGAGAAAACGTGAAAATGAAGAGATTGCACAAAAAGCACTATTCGAATGTGAGCGAGGAGGAGCTCCAAAAGCTACCACCGATCAATTCAAATGTGGTCGATGCGGTCAACGCAAGACGACCTACTATCAATTGCAGACACGGAGTGCTGATGAACCTATGACAACGTTTGTAACTTGTGTAAACTGCAATAATCATTGGAAGTTCTGTTGAGTCTCTCTTATGAGCTGCAGAAAATGTTATTGTTTGGAACAATTTACTGAGCTGCTAGTGTTATTTTGGTTTGACACTGGTTGCAGTCTGTAATCTCAGTCCACATCACTACATTTAGGACGTAGGGGAGGTTCTGTACCGTAGGATTTTCAAGTACCAATTTGTCGAGAAATTCAGTGTATAAACTTGTCTATTTCTTATTTCCTTCGGTATTTGTCTGAGTTTCGTACTTCCAAATAACTTGTGTTTCCACTAGTGCTTGTATCATTTCAGTTCTTCAGCGATGTTCGTTGCAAGGGCGTAAACTAATGAAAGGTACAATTATGGTACAGACCAACCAAATGGAAAATCTCTCTAGCATTTTAGAACTTATCCATAAGAATGTAATATACATAATATTGATAGAACAGATTCACGTTTCCTTATTAACGTACATATGAAGCAAGCAAAAGGTAGCCGTCTATATTTTACGTGTTCCTTGAACATTGCTGAGATCGCGGTTGAGCTTGTAATGCTTCACAAAGTTAGCAGAGATCTAAAATCATCAAAAGAATGAACAAACATCACCTTGCTATTTCCTCTGCATGCTTCTTCTAGATGCGTTCAACCCTCTAAAGACTTGGCTTGGTGAAGAATACCCCATGAGTCGATGAAGTGGGGAATTTGATTTGGTTGATAAATTTCCAACTTTGGAGGACAACTTCTCAGCCTTGTAGCCATGGGAGGATGGATCACCAGACTGGTAACTTTTCTTTAGACTTTCAGTTCTGTTTTGAGACCACTTCGAACTAAGCTCTTTCTCCATTTTGTCTTGGCGAGACGAACGTGGTAAGACAACAGAATCGCTTATTTCTCTCGAGCCACTTTTGCTGATAGCAACCCCATAGCCATCGAGCTTATCGACCTCAGATGGTGGAGGTTCTGCAACACTCGGTACATATGGAACAATATGAGTTCTGCTCTGAAGAGAAAACTCAAGAATCTTAGAGCAATGACCGCACTTGAGCCGATAGCATCGTCTTTTCACCAAGAGAAATTCTGCAGGAATCTGCAGTAACTTCAAGCAGTAGTAACAAGTTATAAACGGGGCGCCTCCAGCCACTGGCCGTAGATGATGCTTGGCCACATGATTTTGATGGCTCATATGATCAGACTGCATACGAATGCCCCTTGCAGATAACTGCGCGCTTACAAAACGTTGGGGACTAGATGCACACGAGCTGTATTGACTATAATAGTCGTGATCGATATGCGCCATACGGGCCCCTTGATTATGCCAGTGTTCAGATGGAAGCAGCTGCATTGAGTGTGGGATGTGTTCAATGCCATAGTAATTAACCTGAGGACCACTAACAGCCTTTACAGCAGAAGTCATCCGAGATAAAGAATGTCGTTCGAGATAATTACTTTGAGGCCCTCTTCTTCGTGAGTACGAAGGATATTCTGTGTCATGCCATGTATCCTTCTGAGTAGCTCCGATCGGTACCCTTCCGCTTGCGTTCCCGTTTAGATTACACGTTTTCTCCAATTCATCCTGCAGTTCGTAAACCATTCTCAACAATCTAACCTTGGCCTCATCATGCTCCACAAAATTGTCTGATGAATGCATTCTAGAATCATGGGGTTCGTCGAACATGGAACTAGAAACGCTGTCGTTCTCGTAGCCACCGTCGCGGTCCCTTCCGAGTAACGACAACTTACTTTGATATTTTTCTCTCCTTAACGTGCTTCTGTTTTGCATGTCCTGTCTTCTATGTTGCAGCATATCATTTTGATTCCTTTCATGATATTCTATGCCATAATGCTTCTCACGAGGCAAACTTTTCCAGGAACTCCTTGTTTCAATCGGAATTTCGGAATCTCTAGCCACTGCGTTATTGTTCATCAAGGACTCTTCTCTTCTGGGACCGTCGGAAGCTTCTTGAATGTTCTTTAACGAACGTCTATGACGATCCAAAAACTGATCATCCATTCCATCATATGAAGATACACTTCCATCATATGCAAAAGAACTTCTGGTTTTCAAAGATTTGACCATACCAGTAGCGCAATGATTCACTTCCGTACAAGCAAAATTATCGACAGGAATTCGATGATCGGTATCATGGCTAATCGTTTCTTCGTGTTCTTCTACTCGTGCAGTACGAGGAGCAAGAATCTTAGATGAAATGCTTGTCCCCATAATAGGACTTGTAGCGACTGCATTTGAAATACCTGTGCTTTCTAAATTGGAACGAGTCTCCTTCCAATTGTCTGGATTTTCTTCTCCTGACAGGAAGATCTCATCAACTATGTCATCTCCCGAACGGTCTCCACTTGAGAGCTTGTCTTTCTCACGATTAGCAACCGCATTCGCAAAAGATACTCGAACCAAAGATCCAGATTGGTCATCATTGGTGGCACTCGTTCGGTTTCTGCTCGAAGATATCTGAACAGGATGCTCCCTGTGGTTGTCTTCGTCATCCTTTTGATCTTTCTCATCACTTGGATCCAAAACAGACTCACCGGAGAATGGGATCGTTATAACTTCATGGTTTAACGTGCTAGTTTCTGTTGTTTTTATAGGATCTCGTCCTGAGAGGTCAGCATTCCCAGGAGAAGCATTAGAGCAGCTCGGTTGCTCGTCATGGCAAGCCTGGGATTCATCATTGCTTCCATCATTATTTAGGCATTCGCTCGAATTTATATGAGCAAGCTGTTCCTGACTAACATCCCCAGATTCTTTCTGATCCTTCACGTCTGTCGGGTCTATAGAACACTCACCGGAGGACGGGATAGTTATTTCAGGACTTGAAATGCTATATTCCTCTTGTTCTGGAGCATCATCTTGGTATGGGAGCTCACCATTCTCATGATAAGCGCAGTCTTCTTCACGATACACTTGATTTGGAAATCCTGATGGCCCTTCATGACCAGCACGAGATTCATCATCGTTTCTAGCATAATTTAGGCGCTCAACCAACTTCCTACGAACGAGTTGCCCGGTGCTACTATCTCCAGATTCATCATGGTTCTCCTCGACATCTGGATCTACGATGCACTCACCAGAGAATGCAATAATTCTTTCATGACTTGATGAACAAATGCTGGCTTCTTCTGCATTATCTCCATCTGAGATTTCGCCATTCTCGTGATGAGGTTCATCATCATTTCCAGCATTCCTTTGCTGCACGTTCAAACTCGAATGAACGAGCTCCTCACTTCTCCGTTCTCCAGGTTCATTTATATCCCTTCCATTGTTTAAGTCCAAACTAGATTCGCCATGAGTTGGAATGATCGTTTTATGGTTCGGAGTGCTAGGCTGCTTATCTTCAGAGGGGTTGACTTCAGAATCTCTGTTTTGTGAGCCCAAATCTGTGTTGTGGGAACTGTCCCTTCGATTCTTTGCTGCATAAAGGATCAGGGGAAATAAATCAGTAAGAGCTTTGAAAAGTCACATAAATTTCATAGCATCATCTTGAAGTATCATATTCAATGTGGTTAGCAGATGTTCTGTTTGTATATTCATGTCTATAAGAAGATGTATGTAACAACCCAGCATATATTGTCTGCTTTGGCCCATTACGTATCGCTGCCAGCGTCACGGTTTTAAAACACGTCTACTAGGGAGAGGTTTTCATACCCTTATAAGGAATATTTTTGTTCCCCAGTCTAACCAATGTGGAATCTCACAATCCACCCCTCTTGGGGACCAGCGTCTTCGCTGTCACACCCCCCAGTGTTTGACTCTGATACCATTTATAACAGTTTAAACCCACCGCTAGTAGATATTGTTCGTTATGGCTCGTTACCTATCGCGGTCAAGCTTACAGTTTTAAAACGCGTCTACTAGGGAGAGGTTTCCACACCCTTACAAATGGTATCAAAACACTGGGCGGTGTGCCAGCGAGGACGCAAAACCCCCAAGGAGGGTGGAGTATGAGATCCCAGTTGAAGAGGGGAACGAAACATTCCTTATAAGGGTGTAAAAACTTCTCCCTAGTAGACGCGTTTCAAAACTACGAGGTTGACGGCAATACGTAACGGGCTAAAGCAGACAATATCTACTAACTGCATTATATGACAGGAGATCATGTCTTCAAAGCAAAGTTCATAAGAAACTTTCCATTTTCCATCTTGTTTAAGCCATATCCTAAAACTTTCTGAAATTCAAGCATCAAAATTTGAAATAACATCGCATGTCTACTTTGTTAGATACGGGAAAGAGCATTTACCTACTAGAATTGTATCACATCCACCACACTTGTAAACAGGAATATCAGGCAACTCAGGAAGAAGCCGACGACATCTAGGACACTTAACCAAACGAATCTTAGCAGTCAATCCAGTGGCCATGTTACTCCAAACACTTAGTCACCACGCCTCTGCAGTCACATAAGCATTACCACATACACTTAGTTATAAATCCACACACAAGCTATTAAATCACCGCTATAACTCTCCATACTTCAAAATTGAGTATAAATAACAGTACATGAAGTTCATATACTGAATCCCCACCAAACCCTTTACCATAAAAACCTATAAGGATAACTTAATCCTACCAGAAAGTCATAAAGGAAACAACCCAATTACACAAACTTCATAAACAATCAGATCATCCCTACTTCTGGATTAAACACCACTAGCTCACAAAATCCACAAAATTCAGAAAGAACTGAGAAGAACTGGCGAACAAGTTCCAAGAGCATAGATCCGATCGAGAAGAATCAAACAGGAGTATGAACAGGGGATGAGAAAACCCACAAAACGCACCTAAGAGCGAAGTAATTGAGTAGATACTAAAGAACCCAGTTCCCAAAATATGTAAGTAATGGAAGATTAAGCAGATAAGAACCTGATTGCATGAAATTCTTTTCTTAGACGCCAAGCATATGAGAAAAAACGAGGACCCAAAACCAAATTTCCAAGGTTCTCGCAGTTTATCAAGGAGGGACAAGTTTGAGCCCTTGAAAAACGTTGCAAAATCCTCCTTTCCCTCTGAACACGAGACGAAGAGTAGCCCATCCAGCGGGCAAAGAAGAGGAAGAAGAAGAGGAGTCAAGGGACGGAACAGAAAAAAACAATCAGGGTTGACTGGACCGGAAGGAGCCAATTAATTCGTGCCACGTGTAACCACGAATGAATTGGAATTTGGTTAAATAAATTGGGGAGTTTGCGGCAAAAAATAAATAAATTAAATTTCAGTTAAGGAATGTTAAATGCAGCAGCTTCTAGAGTTCCGACGTAATTAAAATTATTATTATTATATTGTTATTGTGGGATTATAGGTGGATGACGTGGGCGTGGGGACCACTTGGGTTTAATTTTCTAAAATCGATAAGGATGGTTCGGAATTTTTGGTTGCATATGGACAAAGCTTGGTGTGCATAAAGTCCACAACTTAGAAATTTTGATGATTCTATTTAACTTGTTGAAATGGTCATTGTTGACCCATCAGACCCGCCAACATTATTTTTTATTATTATAAATTTTCTATATTTTATCCGCTTTTAAATTATTTTAGTCCCTCAATTTTTAGGTGAGTAAAGACTTAATTTCTCGATATTAATATTAAACTGTAATGATGTTCGTTAAAGAACATGTCGGAATCTCTTTTCTGCATCGTTTTCATATCTAACACATAATTTTTTCGACAATTATCGAGGATGCGTTCTTGAGAAAATTTGTGTTCATCTTTTAAATTTTATTTAAATATCATAAAATCAAAAATTTTAAACATTCTAACTAGCTAAGCCATATTATATTTTCCTCAACTGTTTTATAATTGGGTTTCTTAAAAATATTAGAGAAATCTGTGTGTCGCGCCTTCTCTGTTTCCCGCCGACTCTCCCTTTGCGCCGTCACGTCGCACCGCCGCTTCTGGCCTCCTAATCCTCTCGGTGTTTTGTGGTGCGTACTCTATCAGTTTTCCCTATTTACATACTGATTACGAATAGCACGACTTGGCTTGACTGCCTTCTTTACAAATGAGTAGTTGAATTTGATTCTCCAGCAATAGAATTTGGTATTGTTCTCCGTTCTTGAATACGAATCTACTCTTCGTTGCAAAATCTTCCTAATTGTTTTAGTCTAGTAATATGTTCAGAACTCACAGTAATTTGGTATGAAGCCATTTAGTTAGGGCTTAAGTGCCCCTCTGTTCCCCGAAGTTACTGAGGCTATGGATAATTCACTTGGGTTTCACTTAAATATGAAATATATCCATCATTTATCTAAAAAGAATTCAAGTTCTTCCTTGAACAAGTTGAATGAAGTTTATTGTGGCTTACTCGTCTTCAGATTCTTTTGGTTGTCCAGAACTCCAACTTCAAGCATGTCTGGAGAGGAGGAAGAAAATGCTGCTGAGCTTAAAATTGGGGATGGTACCAATCTAACTATTAATCTCTAATTTTCATCAATAATCAACGAGATTTTAAGTGCCTCTTACTTTGTGTGGTGATGGGTTTCCTTCACTTAGGAGCTCCTTTCTGTTCCCCATGCCTTATATCCTTATTACACAATCTTTTTAACAGCGAATATAGTTTGGACTGGGAATATGGAGCTAATGTAAACACTTACTAATTTTGTTGCAGTAAAGAAATTACAATCTCTTATTAATCACATACCCTGTGGATAGTTATTTGCTTTATTGTGAGAGGAGAAAGATAGTAAATGTAATAGTCCAAGCACACCGCTGACAGATATTGTCTTCTTTGGGCTTTCCCTTCTAGGCTTTCTCTCAATGTTTTAAAACACGTCTACTAGGGAGAGGTTTCCACACCCTTGTAAGGAATGATTCGTTCCCCTCTCCACCAATGTGGGATCTCACACTCCACCCCCTTTGTAGCCCAGCATTCCCACTGAGACACCGCCCTATGTTTGACTCTGATACCATTTGTAACAGTCCAAACCCACCGCTAGCAGATATTGTCTTCTTTGGGCTTTTTCTTCTTGGCTTCCCTTCAAGGTTTTAAAACGTGTCTACTAGGGAGAGGTTTGCACACTCTTATAAGGAATGCTTCGTTCCCCTATTAAGCCATTAGTTTATGGGAGTATGTCTTATAGCCATCTACATAGAATCATACTATTTCATAACTTTCTCTGTTGTTAGATAAGAAAAAGTCATTAGATGTGTTGTCTTATAGGTGGCTGGGCATCCACATTCATAAAAAGAGATTTCTTTTGCGTACACTCTCTTATTGTTTTTTATGATATCGTGTCAAGGCTCAAATAGCTAAATGCCCTGGGTTTTCAGATATTTTGGGTTAATATTAAATTGTCCTAAGGTTTCTGAAATTTTAGATGAAGATATGTAATCTATGCGAAATCTAAATTCTAACATTTAACATTTTATCATTTGAATACTCAACTATTTAAGCTTTTCCATTTTTTATGAATATATGATAATTAAGACATTAGAATAGATCTTTTGTTTATATGGTAAGTAGTTATTCAAAATTTAAGCTCTTGCCCCCGAGATCTTTTTGGTGTATACACAGCTTTTTTATCCTTTTGCATTTATTTCCTTTGGCTGCCCGCAGAGTTTTTGAAGGCCAAGTGTTTAATGAATTGTGAGGTTTCTTTGATCCTTGAACACAAATATGAACAACTTCAACAAATGTCTGAGGATCCAATGAATCAAGTTTCTCAGTGAGTTTTATGTTTATTGTTTATTGATTTAGAAGCGAACTTAGAGTTTATTTTGCTTGTTGATATAGCTAAAGTTATGATATTCATCACGATTTGCCGTTACAAAGATGAGAGATTTTTAATTCTGGTCTTCTTTCTGCAGAGTGTTTGAAAAGTCGCTGCAGTATGTGAAACGCTTTAGTCGCTATAAAAATCCTGATGCCGTTAGACAAGTTCGAGAGTATCCTTGTCTTGATTTTATGGGATGGTGGGAAGGATGGATTGAGCATATCCACCTTATGCTAAATTCATTTTGAACTTGTAGTTTACAACTACCATTTTCTAGCTAGCCAAGAACTCTTCAGTTAATTATTATTTGGGAAATAGTGAATGAATTAAGATTAACTGCTTCGATATGTAGTTCGTGGAGGGCAATATAGTTTACTTTATCAGCTCTGGTATGAACTAGAAGGTTGGGTTCATTGCTTTAGAATCGCATAAACTAGAGGTGTTGATTCTTAACTGCCATACAGAATTCTAAGCAGGTATCAGTTGGCTGAGTTTGAGGTATATATTTGACACTTGATTTAATCAATCAATTTACAGATCATTATGTACTAAACACTTCGTAAGGAAAGATTTATCTCATCACTCTTGAAATTTGCAGCTCTGTGTTCTTGGCAACCTTTGTCCTGAAACCGTGGAGGAAGCTATTGCTATGGTACCATCTTTGAAGGTATCTTTTGCCTCCTTTTTTATGCCTACACCATATCAACAAGTATAGTAGTTTTTCTTGTTGCTTGTAATTGGTAGTATATGTATTAGTATTCGTCTTAGAATTGCTTATGAATGCTTTTGTTGGCTTCAGGCTAAAGGGAGGGTGCACGATGATGAAGCAATCGAGAAGATGTTAAACGATCTGTCGTTAATCAAAAAGTTTGAGTAGTTACTTTCTAAGTTTGGGTTAAACATGTTCAAATCCAATGTCTATCATTTTCTCACTTAGAACAATGGGGAATTGTAGCCTTCTGTGTCGTAGTATTATTATAACTTGATGGGTCTGTTTGTAATTGATATCCTTGACAAATCTTCAAACTAAATTTGAGTTGTATGTTATTCTCTTTCACCATTATACTGAAAATGTGTTTATCAATAAAACAGTATATTCAAATCAATTAAGGCCTAGAATGATCATATATCTAAATATGTTGATGGTTTCTGACCCATTTTTTTCACACATCAAGCAGGTGCTTTATTACATAAATTTGATGCATGGAAGCTTACTACACAGAATATATAGAATACATAAACCAAGCTTTTGAACTGCAAGTCGATGTCGCCCGGTTTCATGATTATTATTTCAAAGAAAAAAGTTCATAATCTTAAGAATCTAACAACCATGAATTATATTACTTAATCTTCAGGCTTCCATTGTACCAGAGCTAATGTATGGCGGCCACCGCAGGCAACAAGTTTGGCAATCCAACGGCCATTCTCAGTCCCACGAGGAGGGGGGATGTCAATGGGCACTTCCTCTGGTTGCCCAGTTGTTACCTTCCTTCCATATCCAAGCCGCCCATGGTCACCTCGCCCAAACTGTAACAAGACTTGGACAGTTTAGAATGACACTGAACTATGCAAGAAAAAAGATTTAAAGTCCGTTAGAACGTTTGACAAAAAATTGATGTGTTTGAACATCGTTCTTTCAAACTTATTTCAGGCAAGCACTCGAGTCATTGCCATGTCATTCTCAACAACCATCATGTCAATTCTCTGTTCAACATTCTAACTGATTTACACTTCAAGTATAGTTTTGAAACGTTTGGAAGGTAAAGGCTGAAATTAACGAGGGTGTTTTTTTAAACGAATCGCAAAGTTTAGGGGTATTTTATGTGTATATAATTTAGCCGAAACTTCAAAAAGACAGAAACGAAATAAGTTGAAACAAGGGTGTTCTTGGAGAGAGATGAGAGACCAACCGAAAACATGCGGCCATCACTGGTTACTGCAACTGAGTGTGTGCCTCCACAGGATACCTGTACCAACAAATGATATTGGGGCATATTCAAAAGATTTCTACTTCCGTCAAATAATTACTGCATTTCTGAGTCTTTTAACTATAGACCCTAATTCTCGACATGATCCTCAAACTTAATTCAACTGTTTGTAATATTCTCTACTCTCCTTTGTTCAATAGGTTTATCTGAAATACCGCTATCAATTTTCAACCCGGAATTATATCAGCTTATCATTGAAGGATTATGTTATAAAAAATAGGATGATCCCTACCTGAACGATGTCCTCGCCAGACAAAAGTTGAACCTTCTGGGGAACCATTTTGCTGCTCTTATCATTATCTCCAAATCCAAGCCTCCCATGTTCTCCTCGTCCCCATCCATAAACCTGCAACACCAGTACGCTTACTCTTTCTAC